CTCTGTGGGAGCAGAGCCGGTGTCCCCAGCGGGTCACCCCTCTCCTGGGGAGGTGCTCCCGGGCAGTCGCAGAGCCAGACTGGGGGCTGCCTCTGCCCTCCCCTCCCGCCTCCCCCCTGCACACATGCCAGCTCCCTGCTGCCCCACGGGCTCCCAAAATTCCCCCCTGAGCGTGGGCTCTCTGTCGCAGGGTGGTGCGTGGCAGCGGCACAGGTCCTGGGCCTGCAGGAAACAAGCCTCCCTGCTGAGGGATCGTCCTTTCCAGGGGAGGAACACGCCGAATAATTTGGAGGTCAGACACCTACTAGCCAGAGGCAGGGGTTTTAATTATGAGTATTTTTTAAAAAAATTTCTTGAATTATAAATAATGTATTGTGATTGTCGTTAGTATTGGGAGAGCGGGGGGAGCAGGGTGAAACTAGCTTTGTACGAATGGGCAATTAAAAAAATCACCTGTATGGATCCTATCAGAGAAAGATACATGGAATAGTGAAAAACTACAGAAGAGGACGATGAACATGCCTGGGCAGAGCCAGATAATCCCACTTCAGTTTACCGGTTGGGAGGGTGTGGTGTTTAAAAAATAAGGAGCAGAGACAAGCTTGCAGCAATCAGGACTGAAAGAAAATAAGAGCTTGCACTAACCCTTTTTAGTGAAGAAGCTTTATGTTTTTTTTAATGAAGAGATGAAGTGAACATGTGCCGTGTCTCTGCGAGATACCTCCTGCCATGGGAGAAGAGGTGGCAAATGGAAAGCCGACACCACTGAGCTGGCTGTGGCAACCTCTAACATCTGGAGGTCGCTTTAATGCAGAATGATGAAATCTCCTGTCAAGTTACACGCCAAAGATGGCTGCTGTTTTGAGGAGAGAGCCCCAGCAGCAGGCTCTATCCATTTAACACAGACTGCTGCTTTTGTTGCTAGGCTACAAGCAGGACGTACATTTATAAGCAAAAAAAAAAAAAAAAAAAAAAAAAAGTATCTTGTAGTGTTGCCATGATTTGCCTTCTCCAGCGTTCAATATGTTTTTATGATTGCAGTCGGAAAAATCATAGTGCAGGCAAAGCTTTTTTTCCTTGTGCTTTAAATAGATATTTACTGGTAGAAGCTGCTTTGGGGAAGGAAAGCTTGGCAAGTGGTTTCGTTAACATTTGGTGTAAGCACAGGGCATCATACTTCTCCCAGTCATCAGCTGTGCTGCTTCTGTCAAACTGTGGTGGCAAACGTGGTGCACAACGAGGAATACCATTGCTTAATGACCCTGATCAGTCTGGTACGTGCTCTTTTGCCATCACACAAAAATGCTTTCTTCCCCTAAAAAATCTGTTAGTGCTTCTCATTTGAACTAATTATACTGCTGTGATTGACATCCCTGGAGGACGCATTCTGTTCTTTTCTTTGCCAGAGCAATTAAAATATGGGTAGTAGCTGGGCTCGCCTTTCTGTTGTTGCTTTGCCAATGTGTTGTAGTTTTAAAGCAGAATAGGCCACCTTTTACTAATCAGAGGGTAGTTCATTTCCTGTCTTTTCTCCTAAGGCAACATAGCAGCTGTTCTGGTGGACATTGCTCATGGAAAAGAAAAATCTGAGGTTTTTTGGGCAAAAGAGCCCCAGAAAGGGCCAATATGTTATTTGAGGAAGAAAGAGGCCTAACAGGATCCCTAGGCGGCCATGGGCACTTTGGTTTATAAACACCTCAGGGGAAGAAGAGAAGCTGTTCTTCTCCCCATTTGATAGCAGCAGGTACTTTTCTCAACCTCCAGATTTTCCAGCTTACATCCCTCGTTTCCCAGAACGGGGCATTGACAGCTGGATGTCAGGCTGTTAGGGGGCTGCTTTGAAAAATGGAGATCCAGGGGCCTAAGCGTGTCAAATCTTTTTCTCTCTCCCAGTGAATCTGCACATGAAACCTTTTCAGCAGCACCTGGCTCTATACTTTTGAGCTATTCCTATTCTTTAGGGCTATAGTGAGAAAGAGGTACTGCTGTTACTTTCTATTTTTACTGGGTTTTCAGGGAAAAACGTCACTCTCATTTTTCAAAAAAGGAACTCTTAGTTGCCTCTAGTTGCCTCTTTGGTGAATCATGATCTGACCTGGGCGCCTTTACATCAATTGAAGTTAGGGGTCTAAGTCCTGGTAAAGGACACGGTACCAGTTACACCTTTCTTTCAGCATTTGTGTTGGCTAGGTTACTTGCCCTCCTGTACGCAGACTGGTTTGAATTCTCTTTTAAGCCAGAGTACCCAGTGTGTCCCGTGCTTTGTAACAGAGGGTTGCAGGTTGCCATTTGGGAGTTGGGCGCCAAGAAGTGAGATGTCGCAATGTTCATTATCGCAGTTATGTCTGGACTGATTTTGGATGTAGACTTCTCTTTAGACTTCTCCCTCCCCCAGCTCAGTTTTTGCTGACTTTCTGAAATTGCACACAAGAGAGGTGAAAGGCCGCTCTCATTAATAGAGTCTGCTTCTGTAGGGGAAGGTGCAGGAGGCTATAGTCTGGACTCCAGCCCCCATAAAAAGCAAAAAGCAACAGAAAATTCTGAATAGCAAGTGAAGCAGTACCCTATCTGGTACCCCATCTGAGGACGTTTGCTGAAAGATCCTTACTGAAGAGAATTCAGGCATTTGTATCTGTTGAGGAAAGCCTGCCTCTGGGGTAGTTCTCAGGCAAGTTTTTCTCACAAATATTCTGCCTGACAATATCACACTCCTGGCAACCTAAGCTGCCTGCATCTCACGAGGAATGGACATTTTGCCATTAGGGATGCTTCCTGACTCAGAACAGTGACTGTGGCTTTAAAATTGTGCATTTAGATCAGACTTGGAGAATTGGGTTCACAGTTATACCATGAAGAAACTTCTTTTCTTCTGTCGCTGTATTCCCAATTTTAGCTTAGATACTGGAAAAATTAATCACATACCTGAAAAAGTTTCTTAACTGTGGAGTGGATTTTTTCAAGATTTGGGTTAAAATGCAAGGTGTCAGTAACATAAGAAAATATGAATGGTTCCAAGGAAGGTAGCAAAGCTGCTTTTCATCATTTGTGCACTGCTGGATGAGTGTAAGTTACCCAGAATTTCCCAGATCATGTGCCTTTCTGGATTATCCAGTCATGCAACAGGGTTTAAAATAAATTATCAAATGTCTGGGTTGTTCAAAATTGAGTGGTATGTTACTGTCTGAAATAAATAGTCATTGCTACTCTTTCGGCTATTGCTTTGGTTTGAAAAGTGGTTAAATGACCTTCAATGTGGTGTTTAAAATGTGAACTTTGAAAAGGAACAGCAGAGAGTTGAACTCCTGACAACTCCTGAATCTGCATTTTGTAGAATTGCTGCAACTGCTGTTGTTAACCTTTAAACAAGGTTTAAAGTCTTCTACTATTGTTGGTTCTGTGGCAAATCTTAAGTGTAGCCTTTGTACTAAAACTGTTGATCAGACTTTGTGCTGGTTTTTATGTAATTATTTTTTAAGAGGGGCCACTCTCACTTGTTCTTAAGCCCTCTTTTTCCCTCCAGTTAATGTTAGTATTAAATATTAGACCATGAACTGGCAAATTATTCCAACTGATCAGAGAGGGCAGGAAATTTTTGTGTGCTTGGTACGGGGGCTTCCAGCTCAGTTGAGTGTCGCTTTCTGATTGATCGTACAAGATGAAAAAGATAGTCAAAGAATTATTGATTTAAAACAAATATTTTTGTAGAAGGTTATTAAAAATAGGGAGTTGAGAGTTTCTCTTCAGATAAACAGGTTTAGCTGTCAGTGATTTCTACCATGCTTTTAAATTCTATCTTATTTTCTGATTGCCAGGTCTGGGAGAGTGTTTGGGGAGAGAGATGAGGAGGCAGCAGCAGGGACATTTGGAGAGAGAGTGGTAGAGGAGAGGCTGGCAGTGAAATTTGCTTTAAAACACTTGGGAAGTACAGTTTCACACAGCGGTGTCCTCTCTGTGATCTGCCATCTGTATCACCACATCTAATTGCCTCCGGCCTACAGAACGATGTCTTCAGCTCAACTTTTGGTGCCAAGTACATGGCAAGCCATGGCCATTTCTTTAGCTTGACAGTCATATGTTTATGAAAAACTTTATGAACACACAATCACAGTTATGATTCTGAAAATATGCCTTCATACATAAAGAGCCACAGTGTGAAACACATGGATAACCGAACCTCTGTGTCAGTGCTGGGGAGCTAAACAGTGCAAAAAAAATGTTCCTGATCATGGGAATGCGGTTGCCCGTATTGTTAACTTGCTGGAGCGCAGCATGGAGCAGTTTTGCCCAGGACAGCTGATGCTCACCCAGGCAATCCGGCAGCACAAGGGAGGATTTAGCTGCTGTTCTCCATGGGCAGTTTGGATACAGCCGCCCTAGTTTGGAACTGAAAGGATCTAATGATATGAATGTGCCAGAGAGCATAGTCCATTCTTTATTACTGGTTTAATTTATTAGCGTGGACTGTTACCAGCTTCAGCGTTTGCAGGTACAAGTGGTTCTGTTAAATACCTTTCTAATTTATCTGTTTGAAACACCAAAAATATGTATTTTTTTCCTTCCTTTACTGCCTGTCTTCCATGATAGATGTTAACTGTTTGACTGCATTATGATACTGTCTTTTATTCTTTCCAGTACTGCTGATCCTCCTTTGAGAATGTTTGAGGAGAGTTGTTTCAAAGTCAGATTGGGTAATTTTGGTGCTTACCTTTCCACCTTAAAATTTAAGGTGCTGTTGATTAAAAAATTTGTCCTGTTTCACAGGTGGTCTCCCCTCTGTTGGTACTTACTGAATAGCAATAGCTGTGGGAACAATAAATTCAGGTGCTTCTATATAGGCAGTTGAGTGTTAGGTAGTTGTTGAAGTTTGCCTTCATTAGTTGACCGTAAGAAAGCAAACATTTTTATCTTTGTTCTAGAGGATTTGTGCGTTTACTTTCCAGTCTCTTTGCAAGCTTTCTACTTATCTCGGGTTCAGATGGATTTATTCTAATTTGATTTAATCCAAATGCCCTTTATTTTTTCTTTACACGATTCTATTATGGATAATGACAACTTAAATCTTGAGCAAACATAATGTATATGGAGAATTGTATCTCTGAAGGTAGTAGAGTTACGCCCTTGATGAAGCACTGTAGTTAAAATAATAATTAAATCTTAAATAGTTTTATTACAGTGTTCTTGTTATTGAGTATTTGAATGGATTATGCAAACAGCAGCACCCCTCTAAAATTGCATCTGCAGATTAAGGTGACGGCCAGGTAAAGTACTGTTGCAGCAACTTAAATTGAGGGT